GGATACAATTAAATTATAATAATCTGGAAATGTTTTTTTAGTCCAATATTTACTTTTATACTTAATTTGAACACTGTAAATTGACATAATAGTATATAAATTTAAAGTAAAAGTATATATAAATCTACGTATAAGTTTCATTATATCATACACAATTTATATTTGATCGTTATTGAGTCATCATAAAAAATAATAAAAATGAATAATAAATAATATAATCATATCAAATAAAATTTACACTCTTAAAGTATTGGATGTGATTTGTGGATGAAATAAGAAACATGTGTAATCTGAGTTTCAAATAACGATCCACATCTAACCTTGCTTATGTCTTAAAGTCAAAAATCACATGCCTTCATACCTAACACTGCATCAGTTTGAAAGAAGACTTTGGAACAAAACAAAATTATAAAAAGGTAGTGGGCGATTCTTCTGACACATTTTATTCAAACTCCTCTGTTTGAATTTCTACATAAACATTTGCATATTTCTCGGTTACCATCAATCGCGAGCTTCATGCCGACAACAGAAATAGAAAACACGGAATTAATTGACTTCATGACTTACTGAAACAACCTTACAGTACAAGCAGAGAGAAAAACGATAGAAAACTATGCTCATGGCCCTCAATTCTCAAAATGGTTTTCTCTGTCCCCATGCAGCTAACGTTAAATTCCATTTCCCTCTTTCCTTGAAAAATATAATATTTGGTTGTTACAATAATTGATTGAAATTTTAACATAAATTATGTAATGCTTGTGCGTACAGATGAATATGAAAAAATATATGCACAACAAAAATGTTGTCCACCATGCATGCTTCATCATCCCATTAATCAAAAAATGAAAAAGCATTTTACAAGAAAAGTTTAGGAAAGAATAACTGAGAAAACATTATGTCTTCAAAAAACTCATTTAATTGTACCAAGACGAAGGGAGTAGTAATAATGTTATATTAAATAACAATCCACTCAACACAATTAATAACATTTTTAAACAAAAAAGGAAATTTCGTAGGGCAGACTTAAAAAATTTGTACAGCAAAACTTATCTGTATACGGAAGATAAAAAGGCTAGGCAGTGAGTAAAAAAGAAAGGTTTTAGGTGCGAGGCATATATCTGAATCTTTCCTACAACAACATCCCTGCTCTGCTATTTTGCGGTTTTGCTTTCTTCAGCCACTTGTCCCCTTATGAAGAAGCCATATATGAATTCCAATAATATGCATACATAATTTATTACAAGGTATGAAAATGCCCACCCCTCCTTTCAATGAGTGTTTTACTAAATGGATTCCATGAGATTACTAATTTCATCATGTAGTTAAGGGCCTGATTATTGTATACACATTGTAACCAATGATTCCATAATATAGACCCTAGCACAAAATTGCTAACCTGCATATCTGAATCCAACTGCAAGTTTTTCTCTTCATAAATAAAAGTAAGCATTATTAATATTTAAACCCTAATAAATCAATTACCCTTCTTTTAAAACAAATGCTTATCTTAGCATGCAAGATACAAAATTCAGAACACACCAGATATCATAGTTTAGTTCACCAAAAAAAAAAGATATCAAACTTTAATGGTTTGTGCAATAAGACTCCATTAAATGGTTTGAATAAACCCAAAAACACAACGGTGATAAGAAAACGAGTATTTTTTTTACAAAAGTATCACGAGTTAAGTTAATATATAAGGAAGTCCCTTAAAGGCTTAAACTAATGAACATAAATTAAATAATACCTATTAAATAATATATTTATATAAAGGCAAAACATGAAATAACTATCGCATGGTATAATTTTCATTTTCCTATTTTGCCCTTACATTTTTTAATTTCTACAAAAAAAAAACATATAATCCTAAGTAACTACCATTAGCACATTAACCACTTATCTCACCTTAAATTGAATTATAATAAATACATTTTAACATAAAGTACTTTTAACACAAAAACATTCTAATGGTATAAAATAAAATATATAAAAATTAAATACTTAAAATAATAAAATAAGAATGCGGGTCGGCAGACACTTCGTCGACACGGTAGTCAAGTATAATATTTAATTTATTTTATAATACCTAAGTAATATTAAATAATATATCAAGTATACTATTTTATAATGAATGAAAGAATAATTTTAGAATGTTGGTATAATTTTTGATATTATTACCTATGTTTCAGAATTAGTTAATAATGACTTAAACAGTTATACTTCTAGGATGGCAACAGAGACCGGACGGCCTTACCTGCACTATTTGTGAGTACATGTGCAGGTAGCGGGTACCCAATGAGTTTCTAACTCTAATTATATTTTTATATATTTTACGATAATTAATCTATAAAAATATTTTTATATATATGATAATTTTATGATTATAATTTCATTACTAAATTTTACTATAAAGTAATAATAAAATAAACAAATATAATGTTAAATTAATAATAACTAAATATAAAATATTTAATTAAAATATATATGTGGGTATCCGCGATGCGAATATCATAATACTCATTCCCACCTATGAGCTATTTTTGCGGATACCCGTTGCAGATATTTTGACGGGTACCCACGGGTTCAGGTATTTTTGCCATCCCTACTTCATACGGGAAAAGGAGGGAGTAGTAGAGAACCTTTAACAATTTCTAATTTACCAAATTCCAAAAAAAAAAAAGTAAACTTTCAACTTTCAGAGCAGCATCATGTCTCAACTGATCAAGCACCAGAGGATACCTAATAAATCATATCACTTTCTCTCAGAACGCCAGGAGGGGGCAATTTGCTATATTAATACGTGTTAAGATCATGAGATTGCAAAATACCAAATAATATCTTCATCCAATGGACTAATCAAAGTTTCACATAAGTACAATTCATGTTTTATTGACCTTAAATCTGAAGACAATGAAGTCCATAAATCTTTCAATCATATCAACTTCACTATCATGCACACAAATTTCCAATAATATGCACCCTTGTTTCTCATCACAGACGCATACAATTCTCTCACAGACTTAGATAAACATAGAGAAGCAGCCTATTTATTTTCACAAACAAAAATATGAAAACGTTAAGCTGTTTCAAATTTTTGTAGATGCATTTATTATTAAGAAGAAATCTACTATAATTGTTAGTATATTAATAGCTCATAGCTTCTCTTATTGAAGAAAATCGCTTACATCCAGAGGCACGAATTTAGGGGAAATAACCGCATTTCTCTGCATAGACCGAGAAAGTTATTGTTTCCACAAACATATTGTCTGTGAGACCGAGATCAGGTAAACAACATTCTTGCATAGACCCAACTTATCTAAACTTTCTCTAACTAAAAAATAAATATTCATGCATAAAAATATTTGGTCGTGCACTAGTGCTGCAGACCATGAACTCATTTTCAGAGTAATATGAAAAACACAGAAAAATTCCATTGCAGAGAATAAGCACATTATATACAGAAGGAAACAAGAGGTTCTTCAGAATTTCATGTCTCCAAGCACTTATCAGTTTTGAGTTTCAATCAGAACATAACTAAAAAACAAATCAAAGACATCAACTATTCTAAGATTAGTCTGAGATCTAACTTGAATTACAAAACATCATATAGAGGAACTTTGATAACCTAACATGTATAATTACTACTAACTTACTGGACATGAAGTAAATACATTTAGAAAGTTTGCAGCTGAAAACAACCATTAATGCAAGATAACTGGGCAAGACACAGACAAAAAGGAACTCATTGCCTTTCAGATCATATCCTCATAGGATATGTTAGGGTATCCTTGAAACTCCTGCCCCGTCATAGAAAATAATAACAGTTTCCAGTTAAGAACAAGTGCTCCTCAGAGTCCCTGTTATACAACAATGACAGAAAATAATTTGGCCGCACATTAAAAACAGGAGATCAGATCATTACTATACAATGTTGTAGAACCTTCTAGTTCAATATAGTACACCATCAGCAAGGGATACATATAAATTCATAATGAGATACAAATAACTGGAATTTAATGCTAACACTGTATGTTCTTCTTAAGCTAGAACAGAATTTGGATTCTCACAATTTTTTCTCTGACACAAGCAAATTTAATAGACCCTACAAAAATGATAGGCCTAACAATAGTTAATTCATCTCTTTCTCCCTGATAAGGACAACAGGAAAACAAGAGCCGGTCGAATTCCACTGAAATATCCCAATAACGTCACTTGACTTCACTTAATTTTAGAATTGATGCTTCCTAACAGAGCATTTTGATATATTAAAGCCGCTGGTGCTTTATGCAACAAAACTCCAAATCAATCCCAAAGTAAACTGAAACAATCAAGATATATTGCCCAACCTAGTAAGTGAGTAATCATCAACTTTGTTTTTTCTAGTTTTGAAAGGTAGTTACAATGACAGATTTAAAATACACCCCAAGCACGCGTTTCAATTCTGCTAAATACCCTCTGCGATTGTTTAATAAACCTAAACCCTCTTTTGTTCTAAAAGCAAGCAGAGGCAAACAATCTGAAACTATCAGAAACTATATCAAGCACAAGCTACACATAAAATGCATCACATTAAAGATTTATGGCCTTAGAATGCTGTCGAATTGTAGCAGCATAAAACTTTCAAAATATTTTTGTTATGATAAAAATTGTTTTTCAAAGTGACCCTAACCGCATCGACACAATAAAAATATTAACAATTTTACGCTCAGAAATTCAGAATCAACTTAACAAAAGGAAGGACGTACAATGAAAATCAAATCTACATAAGCCTATTATAAAGCTAACCAAAAATATTTTTAAATAAAAACATGTTTTTCGTTGGATTCAGATGCTACGCTGCATCAAGATCTAGAACCAATAATTACGGTTTCCACACATAGCCAAGAAACTAGTGAATCAGAAAAAACGGTAAATATAAAATCGGATCTGATTGACATGAATTAAGATAGCAATAAAAGTTACTGGCTATCGAAATTAGAAGCAGAGATCTGTCGGCGTAAAACCACGGCGGCCTCGGATTCAGTTGATGCAAGGCGGGATCCAATTCGCCGCCGACAATCGAAACTCATTCCGGTCGAAAGTAGCAGCAGCGGTTCCCGACCTGCACCAAGCGAATTAGAGACCGCGCGGTGAGAATATCAAGAACCGTTCTTTCTCTCTCTCTCCGCAATCTCAGAGGAAGAGAAAGAAACGTAAAAGTAAACTAAACTCTCAAACCTCACGCTATGTGGTGACTGGTGAACGGAGGGAGGATTAGGTCAGTAAGGGTTATTTATAGCTATGACAGACGAATATAATTTGGACACGTGGAGGTTACGCGTTCTACATGGTGTGGGTTACTGTACAACAACCCAAGTGGTTTGATGAAGAAATAAAGAGGAGGGAGAGAGATGCTTGGAATTGGTCATCGATTTCAAGGAAATTACGAGGGATTGCCATTAGGGTGAATTACGTGGATCCACGTGCGCGTGTTCTACAACGGCAACGTCTTTAACGAAACTCCTTACAGGATTTCAACGCTGGATTTGCATTTTTTTAATCTAATCGGAACCATAGGCTATTATATTAGAAATAATATATATCACTCCAAAATTAATTATTAATAAATAAAATATTATTTTATAATATATTTAATTGTTACATGTGTATAATTTTTCTTATTAGCTTGTCTATGTGTTTGTAATTCACCCCATTACATATGATAAATAAAGATTACATGGTTTCTTTACCTCGAGATTTTGATAAATTATCCATATATTATTTTATTCACCAATAAAATCCTACTTTTATAGAATGTAACTCAATTTCTTACCAATTAAATTAACATTATTTTTTTTTTTGGCTCCAAAAACTGTATATTTCACATGTAAAAGTCACTTTTATTTTTGTGCAATATCTTTGTTACCTAACTGGGTGATCAACTTTTGACATTTTGCACACAAAAGTAAAGGTGTGAAAGGTGTCATTGACTATTTTATATTTATAATACAGCATCTAGAAAGTTGTGATGATTCCTTTTTATGATACATTTATATAATATATGTTATTTTTAATCCATTTGCCTATATTAAATTTTTTAATATATACATTTTTGTTTTTTTTATTAAAAGGGATAAACTTGGACACAAAGGCAAACTTATTTGCCTTATGTTTTGGATTTGAGGATAAAGATGTATATATTTATTCTTCTTATATCTTACTAGGTAGGAACCTTGCGTATCATATCATATAATTCTACGAAGGAACAATGATATAAATATCATATTTTTCTATGAAATTGTTTTCATTTAGACAATAGAAAAAATGCATAAACTTAGCTAATATACTTTTTCAGTGGTGGGGTGTTATGAAAACTAGTACATTTTTCCTATAATTGTCATGGGGAGATCTAGTGTTACTATTTGACTCAAGCATGATTGTCTATAGATGTGTTTCATAAAAAAAAATTGGTTAAATATCTCTTTCAATTTATAATAATTGTTGTATTGGAACAATTAGTAGTAGAACAATTATCTTCTAAAATATAATATTAGTAGTATTGCCCTTTTTTGTAATATTAAATTGGATGTAAATATGTCAAAAACATATTTTTTCAAAAAAAAAACTATTTACCTTAAAAAATCTCACTTTCGGAGCATCTCTTTTGCTTTATGATCATCATAAACAATGTCATCTGCATACTAAATTAAAGGGCAATGTCATATTGGAGAGTAGAAAGGATAGGTACAAGGCTACAAGCAATGGAGACAATGGGTGTTGGCCATTTGGAGTATGATGTATTAATATTGTAGTTTGTGAAATAACCCACTCCACCTGAATAATATTGTAATGTTATCATTGTACCATTAACATGATATCTTGTTTGGTTTATATGTATGGGAGCTCTATCTGCATCCACCTTCCAGCATCTTAGGAACAAATAACTAAACTGTTGTCCATAACTTTATCAGCATAATCAATGATATGATGTCGTCAAGGACTCAAAGGCTGTATACTTAAGACTTATCAGTGGTTCAACCATGCATAAACTGTTTTGTCATATCTAATAGTATAATCATAAAATATTTACTTTCTGTGCGGTAACAAGTTTATGTATATGTAATTGTTTACATATAATGCCATGAATTAATAATTCCAATCAAAGTTCTCATTTAGAAATTAAAAAAAAAAAGACAATTTAATCAAAGTTAATGCATGGTTTCAAATTAGGGTTTGTTTTAAAAAATATGAAAAAGAGGTGACTAATTAATCAACGTGGTTGCAATTAATTTCTATTACAATATTTTTTATGCACTCTTTCTATGTAAATGGCATATGCATTTAATGCATGTAACCCATTTTGATGCACTCTTTCTATGTTAGGCAATTGTTTTGAGACATTGCAGTCAATGATTGAGACACTGCTGATTTCCATCCCCTTGAAGATCCACCCCACAATATCAACTTATCAAGTTCAAGCATGAGAGTTAGGAATTCCATAGTCAGTGAAATTGACAAGCAACAAGGCATTACCTTGTCTAGGCTACATAGGGTAATGTCATTGTAGAGTGTTAAGTCACATAATGCTCCAAGCTTCTTCATTTTGTTACTTCAATTTTTGTTGAATTTCACTGTCACATCAGCATAACCCAATATGAATGTAAAGTGTAAACATGCATAAGGACATGTTTATGCATGTCATAATTCATATAGTGAATAAAAGGAAAAGTGACCCTCCCCTCTCTACTTATTTATTGTTGTTGATTTCATGGTAAAATTAGTGGTTGTTATGCTCATTCCCTATAACTCCCACTAGACAGTGCTCTCTGATTCGAAGCTAGTAAAGCATATATAGAAATAGAATATATGCAAAAAAATAGAATATGTTAAACATTACAGGAAGACCTTCATGTTATTTTAATAGCATAAGTACCCAAAATATTATTTGACCAACCAAATTCTTTTGCCCTCTCCTTTCATGGTTTTCTGTCCCAAAACAAAGCACATGCTTCAATTGGATCATAGGCATATGCTTGAGGAAAAGCTAACACTAATAATGTACTGTACACCCAAATTATGTTTACTATGCCAACACAACTTTTATCATCTAATTATAATTAATTTTATTATTCAAAAATATGCACTTTCATTGTAAATATTTTTTATATTGTTATTATATCATCCATAATTAACTCTTTAACAAAAAAATAATACAAATAAAGTAGTAAGTAAAAATGGGATGGATAAAATACATACAATATCAAATAAGATATTCAAAATTTAATCATTGAACACTTTTAGGACAAATTATTCGGAAGATATTTGTTCGGTAAGCACCAACCACTTCTGAATTCAATATTGGAAAGATGGTGACAGGAGTGGCAAAGTGAAGATATATGCTTACAACACTAGGTTAACCTTACACCACTACATTATCTCAAAGAGCCTTAAAAGCTGCAATTACTACATTTGAAAATGATATATTATTCTACTAATTCTCTTACCTAAAAGAAATTGATATATGTCGCAAAGTGATTATTTATTTATTAATGATTAGTTTACAAACGACATGTTTCTTGTGAATAGTAAAAAGATTTAGTAGGAAAATATAACATTAATATAATGCACATCATGTCTTTTCATCCTTACATTTATATTTATTTAACATAAAGAAAAAGAAAATGTCTAATCCTACCTCGACATTTACATTTATAATAGAACAATCAAGGAAGGGGCATTATGCATGGGACTCCTATTTCAACTTGAAAACAAATAGTCTAATCCTAATCTAACGGTTCTCAACGTGTCACATTCCACTGAAAATGTTAATTCAATATTATATTAGACCTCATCCACTGATTAACAATGATAATGTAAACACAAAATCTGTCTTTCACAATTTTGGCTCAGAAAGTACATGCAAATCCTATAGTATGAGCAATGTTTATGAATTTCTTATTCATCTAAAACAGCTAAGAACAACCTATTCATCTAAAATCAACAAATATGTAGTTACATTATCTGTTAAAAAAATTCTGTCTTTTTAGCATTTTTTCTTCTTAAATTTAATTGAAGCATTTGATCAAAACTAAACAAAACAACAAAGGCTCTTCCTGAACTCTGAAAAGTGGACAAAACTGATTTTACATGTCTGGGCTAGAAAGTGAGAAAACAAAAACATATCAACACAACCAAATACACAGCTCCCCATATTGTCCAAGCTATAAGAAACATACACCAGACTCATAATATAGATTATGACACTGCACATGATTAAACACAACCAAAGGCTAAGGGGGTAAACCGAACCGGCTCGTGGTTTGGTCGATAGCGCGTAACAGTATCGGCGCTAGCATATGTGCTACCCTTGGTAGAGAAGGATAGGTTAGAGTTCCAAGAATAAACCAATTGAAGCTTAATAGAGCAACTGCATCAGAAGCAGGTTTGTTCTTAATGGTGGAGAAAAACTGCACCACACTCTTCAAGGACATGCCTACAACTGCAAAGAGAGCTACAACAAGAGGCATGCAAGGGTCTTCAGCTTCCCATATAGTCACTCCAACTATAAGTGACATAATGGCACTGAAGAGTGATTGTGAAAAAGCAATGTCTCGACGTTGATCAAGTACTCCTCTCATTTCTACAACATCTTTTGACATCATTTCAGGTTTAACTTGGGTAACGGAACCAGACTTGTTACCTGTTTTCAATAGTTTAAGCAACTCATTTCTGGTCTTGTTATCAATTTCCAAAATATCTTTGTGCATGAGTAGATCTTGAAGAGAAATTCCATTCCGATTATAACTAGGTTTGCATTGCATGACAGGATTGTTATAGCTGCTGCCATGAATGTTTTGCTCACTGTCAGTGTCATTTTGATCTTTGGAGCTCCAATATGCCTTTCCTTGAATTTCTTTTAGCTGAAGATTTTCGTTTATCTGATCCTGCAACTGTAAAGAAAACATAAGAAATAAAGCACTAAATCATGAAAACATTTCTGTACATGGAAACAATTACAGAAACTTAAGTTCCACCTGACAAAGCAAGCAGAAAATTGGGCAAAACAATGATAGTAAAGGTAGTCAGAATCAGTAGGAAGCAAACAAAAAACATAATTTTAGCATATTCAAGAAAAATGTTAGTCGATATCTATTTTTCATAATCGTTGGTCATATCTTTCATGCATGGCATCTTCAGCAAGTTTCAAGACAAATTTTCAATCCCATGGAACTGATGCCAACTTCAGAAAAATGAGAGAAATATGGGTAACACTTTCTAGTTTCTACTAATAAATTATATCGCTTTCAATACAAATTATGTCACTTGCAAACTTGTGTTATCGTTCT